TATTTTATATTCCTCTAATGATTTGTACCTGCCGGGCAGCCGACAAGATAAAAACCAAACCTAGATTCTCCATACCAAACAAATCCTTAAATATGGCCAAAAAAAAAAAAAAAGTCCCTAAATGATTGCCAAAAAAATAATAATAATAACAGTCGTAAATGTAGAACGTTTTTCTTGAAAGAAGTTATGTTATTTGGAGAGTAAAAAAAAAAAAAACAGTCCCTAAATGATTGCCAAAAAAAAAATAATAATAACAGTCGTAAATGTAGAACGTTTTTCTTGAAAGAAGTTATGTTATTTGGAGAGTAATAGACATATAATTTTAAAATTTTATTATATGATATGAATTAAGTAACTAAAATAATTAGATAAATAGTATTTTTATTGATATTGGAGGTCTTCTATTATTCAACGATTTTTATTTTGCAATTTAATATAATTCAAACTATTAAATAATAATATAATTCAAACTATTAAATAAGATTCTCATATAATTTTATATTCACTTTGTCTCAAAATAACTGTTATTATATACTTTAAGTTTTTTGCAAATTAATTGTTATTTTTTTAATTTTTTTATGATAGACAAATATTCTTTTCTTATTTTAACCTTGTCATTATTTTTTTTACTTTGATTAATTATTTTCTCACAAAAAGTTTTACTTCATCTTTTAACTTTTTTTAAGCATAATACAAATAAATATATACATTATTTCTAAATTTTTAATTTAAAGAAAATATTAAAAAAACAGCAATTATTTTAAAATAAAAGAAATATTATAATGAAGTAGTATTTTTTTATAATAACCCTGAGTTTGAGTAGCCTTAATTAGAATTCTTCAAGGATGGATCTCCTAATTCCATTTACTTATTTAACTATTATGAGCTGTCTTATAAAATAATACTGTGTGGCAACTAATGCTATTTTGCTAGAATAGTTTTGACTGAACTAATTAGAGGAAAATTCCAAGAAACAGTGAAGGGACAAGGTACCCTGGAAATCCTGCAAGAGCCAGGGCGTCCACATGATATGGGGCGTCGGCCCACTTTTCAAAGTAAAATAAATGTTTGAACTTTCAAGGGGCTTTTATTTGGGCCCACGTGTGGCCCTCTATGGTTCTTTAAAAAGAAAGCCCAGAAGAGAGTCACGATCGTTTCCTTGGATTGGATTAGATTAGGTCAGGTACATTTTCAGTGTTCCTCCTCGGGCCCACGTTCCTCGTGACATGTTTCCCTCCTGCCTTGCATTTCCCACTTCCTAACCTTTCATGCACAGCCTCCTTTTTTTTTTTTTTCCATGAGTTGTCATTAAAGGGCTTCACTGTAATTTCATTATTATAAAATTGAAATTAATGTTTAATGGGAAAATGAAAAATCAAGACATTTTGATATTAAAAATGTTAAAATATCTAATAATAGTCACATGATAAATTTGATAAAATTAGAGGTTACACTATCTTTCACATATTTAATTATTGTGATTGGATGTCTTGATATTTTTTTAATAGCAAGACATCCTAATTTTCTTTTTCTTATGTTTAAAACCTAGAAGAGATACACTTTTTCATTTTTGTTGTACAATGAGAACATTTTTCAGTTGTTTTACTTGTCTTATCTCTATTTAAATTCGTGATTTTTTTATTTTTATTAAAAATAAGATTTTAAATCTTTTAATTTTTTTTTAAACAGATTACAAATTGAGAGTGAGAGAATTGAATTTAGCTTAAGGGATTGGGGGTGCACTTATTAAGGTGACAAATCTACTAGGCCAAGAGGCCAGGTGCTAAATCTTTTAATTGTTGAATTTTCTTTTGAAAAGATTTATGTAAGAAAATTTCCTATAATTTCTTCATTCAACTTTGCTATGTAATCGAATATGTTGATGCAAACTTTCCATGCGAGTTGAAAACAGAGTGGGATGTATTGTAGAGATAAATTTATTTCCTAGACTTTATTTGATAGTGCATTGTTGCATTGTGGCTATAGTTATAAGGTTTTATATCTTTTATTATCTTAAAAATACATAAAATATTGATTAAAATTAATAAAAATATATTAATAAATTAATTAAAATTAATAAATTTATGTTTTAAAATAAGTTATTGGGTAAAAAGGGTTTGTGAGAAACACCGTTGATTTGAGTTCTGTTAAATGAAAGTTTAATCTAGCTTAGTAATAAATTTGTAGGCATTACAATCTTAATGTTGATTAATGCATGTGTACTACTTGATTAGTATACTGTGAGTTGTACCCTCTCGTAATTTCCATCATTCCGGTTCGACGTAATCTCCCCTGTGCTTTCAAAATGTTGATGGTCCAAACAAAAGACAGGAGTACACCGTTTCTGGGTTTTTATATGCATTTCCTCCTCAGATTCATCATCCTAAACGTGAAAAGATAAAAACCATTTTTGGTCTTTAAGAATTATATTTAATATGCAACACAAAATCAAACTCAAAACAACCATATATAGTTAAGAAAAAGTAGTGTGTAACTTAAATTATATTAAATTATACAATATTAATTATTTGATAAAAATTAAAATTTTTAATATTAAGAATTTTTCTCTTTGTTTACACCTACTTTTGCAAAAAAATAAAATGGTGCCATGTATCATTTATGTTGACAAGAATTTCATTAGTTGAAAGCAGTTAGAGTAAATTTCTTTAGCTAAAGTTGAGTGGTTATTTCCACAACTACAACAAAGCCATTCATTTGTTACGAACTTCCAGGAGGATAATCAGCAACACAAACAGACTAATCGGTTTGTTTCAGATATCACGCTGCTATTGGTTTTTCAAGATTGTTGCTGCAAATCTCCAAGCATGCTGCCAAGGGGAGTTTATTGCTATAAGTATGCAGAAAAGAAACAAAGCGAAAGAGACCAACCTCTAACACAACTAACCCAACGCTATCTACATTTTAGTTTTACAAGTAATGTCTTAGTTTAGATCCAGTTTCCTCAATCAGCTTTCCTAATTTAGTCTTTAGCTCTATGTTACCATTAGTTTCAACTCTGATTTTTGTTATTTCGTTGTGAACATCTCTACTCGATATATTTAGTTTTCTGCAATTCAATTTACTGCACTTTGCTCCAAATTCATCTTCCTAACTTTTTTTAAGTTTAGTTTTATGCTTCAGTTTTTATTTCGTTTTCTACGTTTTCATACTTTCGCAGTAGCATCACGCTTTCTCTTTGCAATTTAGTTTTCCTGCTATGTACTCTCTTTCTTCTCCTTTCCTTTATTTTCCTCTTTTATTTTGATCAACAAACTAATATTTTGGCTCTAGTTGTGGGAAGTCCCTGATGTTCTTTTAGGGCAATTATTTATGGACCTTTATGCATGAATTCACCCCGTTTTTGCGACAATCGTCTAATCAGAGCGCACCTCATAATTTATTTAACCCGTGCTCTTCCATTGACTTGCAACCGAGTTCCACGTTTGAAAGAAGTGAGGGTCACCGGGAATCCCTCTTTCTCACTTTGAGCAAAGTGAGTAACACACCTTTGTAGTTTTATCTGCCACGCGACAAAAAAAGGAGATTTTAGAGACAACACTCTTACTTAATAATTTTTTTAATACAATATGATATAATATAATATAAATCATAAAATAAGATTTCTTACGTCAATATCACAAGAAATCCGTGGCATAGCCAGGCAAAATCTGGCACACCTCTGTACAGTAGTGCACATGCTGTGTTTCCACACATCAGCCAACAAACCGACTGAAGGCATAAGGAAAAAATAGTTAATCCTAATTATGGTTAATTTTTTCAATTACTTAAATAATTTAATAATTATTTTATTTTATTAGAAGTAAGAGTTCTTGAGTTCGAATCACATGACATATAAATAAGATGAGATAAAAAATAAAAAATAATTATTTTCCATTATACAAATTAAAAAAAAAAAAAAAAAAAACTCAATCCTTTATCTTATTTTCCAAGGTTCTCAGGTGGACCCTCACAAATTTATTGATTTAAAAGATTACATTAATACTTAGTTTGCTTGTGATGGTCAAAAATGGAATTAGAGAAGGCCCTATCTTGAGACGAGTTTGTGCATGTAAGAAATTGGTCATGATCACCTTCTTATAAGGTTTAAAGACTCTCAGTATAAGAAAATAAATATTTTTGTGGTCGTAAAATTAATCACAAAAATTTAAATTTTAAATATAAATTTAATTTATAATTAAATATATAAAATTTTGTAATTAATTCTTTATCACAAAATATTCACTTTCTTATGATGTCTAAATCAACACTGACCCATAAAGACCCCATGTGCTGCCAGTCGTACTAATTCCTGGGACTCTTTTGGTCGTTTAGGTGGAAAACTGAGGGCATGTTTGGTTCGTTTCTAAGTATTTTAATTTTTTTTTAACATTATTTATATTTCATAAATTCAAAAATTTTTTTTAAAAAATTGGTGTTTTTGATTTTTTTTTTAATTTTAAAAAGAGTTTAAATAATTAAATTTTAAAAAAATTTCAAATTTTTACTTTTTAAAATTTCTCTTTTACTCACTTTTTATTTTTTTAAATAATTTTTAAATTTTTTCTCAAATAAAAATTTAAATTTATGAAATATAAATAATATCAAAAAAAAATTAAAACATATACCGAACATGCTCTAAGAAAAGTCTCACTATTCTTTCCAAATAGTATGATATTATACCATAAATATGATTAAAACTTCTAAAATAATGAGTTGAATTTAGGTAAATTTTATCTTATAATTTAAATTTAAGATTTAAATTTTAAACATTAAAAAATAATATTTTAAAAATATATTAAATTAATATAAAAATACGTTCTTAAGATTTTTAAAATAATTAAAATTTTTTAGTATTAATTATATAATAAAAAATAATTATTTTTCATATCTTATTCAACTTCATCCGTATGTCATGGATTTAAATTTAAAATTTTTTACTTTCAATAAAAAAATAACGATTAAATTATTTAAATTATTAATTAAAATAATTAATTTTAAAATATATAAAAACTAATCTCATGTAACATCGAAAGACTGAATATATATCAATAATTCATGTATCTTCATAAAAGTGAGAGGAAAAAAAGTTCGACATGCCATCCTCGACAGAGGTCGGGTTAGGAACACGGGCAACACCGAACAAAAATTAAGCTAGAAATGTGGTGGCGTTGCGTGGGATTGCAACAGCTTAGGGGAGTATATTGCATCGTTATTTTATTTTATTTTTATTTATTTAAAAATATATAATATAACTTAAAACTACATTATATTAATTATTAAATAAAAATAAATTTTTAATATTAAATTTTTTATTTAATAATTTTATTTTATAATAAAATATAATTTAAATTATAAAATATTTTATTATTAAAAATTTAAAACTATAAATTTAAGATTTTAAATTTAAATTTCGAACGGTATGAGAAAAAATTTAAAAATAAAAAAAAAATTCTTATATAACCCATAAAAATACCTAAAAAAATAAATAAATAAATGAAAGAAAGGCTAATTTGGTTCATTAAACCCACGTGAAGTTGCAGAAACTAATGTCAATTTCGCAATTTCCTCCAAATCCAATCCTCTTCGTCTAAGTCAGCATGCATATAAACACCATTCTTTCGCTCTCAACATCTCATTTCTTTTGAACCAAAAAAAAAAACATCTCATTTCTTTTTCTCTCACTCTCGAAAACAGCAGTGCCCAGCACTTTTAGCCATGCTAAGGGCTGTTTTGTTGTCGGTGCTCCTTTGCGCCAGCTGCCGCCTTTCTTTTTCCTTGATCGACGGTGAGCCTCCATATTAATTAGCATATATGTTAATTTATTAAAAATGTTTAATTAGTTAAGCAACTTCAATTACTTTGAGTTCAAAACATGTTTGATTAATTGTCAGTGTGAATATGTCAAGTTCCTTGCCCTGTTCTTGGCTGCAGCATGATCAGATGGAAAAAAAGAATTTTGGTATTGGGTTTAGAAAGTTTGATTATCTGGGATGACCAAAGCTGTCTCCTGCATTATTGCATTTATGCCTCTATTTATCTCTGCAGAATTTCACAGATGAAGTTGAATTTCATGATTCATATAAAGCATGTCACTGTCGTCTTAAATTCCATAGTTTCCTTTGCCAAACATTGGCTGGATCATGCAGGCATTTAGTGCCTGAGCTAATCCTTTTAACTTCTATCGGTATATATTGACAAAACTATATGAATGTGTCGATGTTGAAAAAAAGAGAGTTAATTTACTTAATGATTAACTTTGGTATTCTCTTCTGATTCAGGGTTGTTAAAAAATGGCGATTTCGAGCTGGGGCCCAAAAAATCAGACATGAATGGTACGGTGGTGATCGGCGGCCGCTACTCAATTCCGGAATGGGAAATTTTGGGGTTTGTGGAGTACATAAAATCGGGGCAAAAGCAAGGGGACATGCTGCTGGTGGTGCCAGAGGGAGCGTTCGCGGTCAGGTTGGGGAATGAGGCCTCCATCAAGCAGAGGTTGAATGTGACAAAGGGGATGTACTACTCAGTCACGTTCAGCGCGGCCCGCACCTGCGCCCAGGAGGAGCAGCTGAACGTCTCGGTGGCGCCTGATTTCGGGGTGCTTCCCATCCAAACAGTGTACAGCAGCAGCGGGTGGGACTCATATGCATGGGCATTTCAGGCACCGAGTAATATCGATGTTGTAGAGCTTATTATTCATAACCCTGGAGTGGAAGAGGATCCAGCTTGTGGACCACTTATAGATGGTGTGGGAATCAGGACCCTCTATCCCCCAAGAGCAACCAACAGTAAGTTCTTTGGACCATCTCCAATTTTAACTAACATGTTAACAATTCAATTTAATTTTTGTACAAAGGTAAGCGTTTTTCCACCTGCAGCTCTGTACCATATGGGTTCATCTTATGGGTTTTTGTTCAAGCACTAGTTTTGCAAGTAGTTTTTCACCGTGGGCCTACTTAACATAAATTGATAGCGATCTTTTTTCTAGCAACCTGTCTGGTGTGGGGACATATCCAGGATTGCCAGGAAGGTGTTGTTGTGTGGGCAAATAATTGAAGAGCACAAAATAACAAATTGCACGTAGGTCATTTAATCTTAGATGTCCATATGCAGAGTGATGCTAAGACATATAGGATTCAAAGAAATTTTATTGCAAAAGAATGGAATTGGACATGACTATAGCTAATTGGTCCCAACATGTATTGACATCATGACCAGCACGGAAAGCATCGACTGAACATATTTGGTTCGCATTGAATGCTGCCTTTATTCACAACATGATTATGTCTTCAAGCGTCAAAAGATCTTGAAGTAGTTTGAAGGTTAGAGTGGTTTTTCAAACATGAAATGGTAAAATTTGAATTCGTCTTCTATGAATTGAGAATTATGCAATTGACAATAAAAAAAATATGTATTTTATTAATTGAAGTGCGGTATTAAATTCCAAAAATTTGAAATCTTTCTGATTTGTATAGCAAAAGTGTATATATATTAATTTAATTTTGTTTATAGAACGTTTGAATTTCAATGAACAACTCCATTAATTAGGAAAAGTGAATTAAAATTACTAAATTAGATGGTCACTAATGGGTAGTTTGACTATTCATCTGTTTTTACAGAGAACATTTTGAAGAATGGAGGGTTTGAAGAAGGTCCGTACATCTTTCCCAACACTTCCTGGGGAGTCTTGATACCACCCAACATTGAGGACGATCACTCTCCGCTGCCCGGATGGATGGTGGAATCACTCAAAGCTGTCAAGTACATAGATTCTGCCCACTTCTCCGTGCCCCAAGGTCGGCGAGCGGTGGAGTTAGTGGCTGGGAAAGAGAGTGCAATCGCCCAGGTTGCAAGAACCATTCCGGGCAAGACTTACGCCCTCTCATTCTCAGTGGGGGACGCCAACAACGCCTGCAAAGGGTCCATGATCGTGGAAGCATTCGCGGGTCAAGACACAATCAAGGTCCCCTACGAGTCCAAAGGCAAAGGGGGTTTCAAGCGCGCCGTGCTCCGGTTCAAGGCCGTGTCCACAAGGACCCGCATCATGTTCTTGAGCACGTTTTACACCATGAGGAGTGATGACTTCTCGTCTCTGTGTGGTCCCGTTTTGGACGATGTGAGGCTGTTGAGCCTCCGTAAACCCTGAAGCACCAGTACTGCCGTCGCCAGAAGTAAAGCAGGAATGGTCGGCGTCCGATCAGCTTTTGATGGAAATGCTAGTTAAATAAGTAATCGAGGGAGGGAATTAATAATTAGTGTGAGTTTAAACTAGCATAATCCAACAAATAAAAGACTATATATATTATACTGTGAGAGTAGTACACTGGTGTGTGTTTATATATGTTTGTTAGGAAAAAAATAAATAAGGAAAAATTATATTTATTAACTAATTATTCATCATTAGTCTGTGTCATATACTCAATTCTCATCTCACGTTTCAATTTTAATCAGTACTTGTGCACTTATTATTATATACTTTTAGATAGACACGAGTGTGGTGTGATAAAAGATAATTTTTTTTTTTATTACGTAATTAATATAAAAAAATATTATATTGACCGATTTGATAAATATGCGGTTTTCAAACTCATAAATTGAGTTTTTTTTTTTTAAACATATTTTGCAGAGGCGGGTATCGAACTGTCCGGGAGAGGGGAGAATGCACCGGTTAACTAATGCTAGTAGCCTCAAGGGCTAGGTGCCATAAATTGAGTTTAAACTCTTTCTTTTACCTTAAAAAATTATACTTGTTTAATTTTTCTTAATCACTACTTATGGAACGTGGGCACGTTGAAATACAATGAAATTTATTTTCCTAAGGCCTAATGGTATTTTAGTACTTAAAGAATTGGCTTTTGTTTGAAATTTATTTTTTTAAAAAAAAGCATAAATGGTAAAATTTTTGGTTTAAAATTGAATATCAACATTTAAATTTAAATGAGCTTTTCACTCACCTCCTTTCAAAATATTTTTGACTACGATGAAGTGTAACAGTAACACAATCATATTCACGTATCCAAATTCATTTTGCTTTTCGTTTTTAGAAATTTATTATAATTCATAGCCAAAATGATTTTATATTGTCCAAGTCTTTTATCTAAAATCTAATAAATTTTTAAAAAAGAGACTATTTTACAAATTCAATTAAAAAATAATAAATTTTAAATCTTTTATGTTTTATGTATCAAACAAACTGCATCAGTCGCCTCCTATTTCCTAAGGCGTCCCATTTGATAAGAGCTTCACACCCTAATAAAAGCTTTATTTATTTATTTATATTAATCTTTAATATTTATAAATTATATTAAATTTTGATTAATTTAAAATCAAATTTTTTTAAATTTTATAAAAAGAATTTTTAGTATCTATTTTTTCATTTGTATGATTTAGATTTAAAATTTTATCTAAAAAAATTAATTTTTTTATTTAAACTAACAGATAATTAATTTAATAAAAGATTTTATATTTCAATCACAAGGTTAAAGAAAACTCTGGTTTGTTTTTTTGAATTATATTAAATTACAGAATTAAAAACTGTTAAATAAAAATAATCTATAATATAAAAAACTCGTTTATATATAATAATTTAAATTATAAGAATGAACACAATAAACAGGTAAAAGGCAAAACTATACATTAAGCCTTTGAACTAACCTCAAAATTGCTAATAAGCCCTCAAACTTTAATTGATGCATATAAGTCTTATGCTCCCTAATCTGAGCTATTTAGCTCTTAATTCTTTAACTACCATAAGAGTAAGGGCTAAATTACAATAAGAATAAGAGTTAAATTGCTTAGATAGTAGAGTTTAGAGGCTTATATTCACTAATTAAAGTTTGGGAGTCAATATCATATTTAGGGTTAATTTAGGGGCTTAACAAATAGTTTTGCCAAGGTAAAAGTGTCCATCAGTCAATGGTCAAAGCAATAGAAATATCTCGTCTCATCTCTCGGTCATCCTGGTTCTATCTAACGGCCCAGATACTCGCGTCACCTTAAAGCTACACTAGAAGTCAAAACAGATCTAACTTTTATCCAATGCTGCGCAGCCCACACATTGAACCATCTTATCCGTTCGTCTGTCATCCTGTAACACCCAACGCTCTCAGTTTTCAGACTCCACGTGCTGCGTCGCACGCAATAATTGTATGCACTTAGGTCTGCTAAAACCTTTTCCTATTTGAACCCCTCCCTCCATCTTCACCTACCCCCTCCCTCCCTGTTGTTCCTCGCAGTTCCTCTGTTTCAAATTTCAAATCCAAGACTCAGTAAATGGTAAGTCTCTGCGATTTTCTCTCACTTTCCGGAGAAAGCTTTGATCTTCGTGATCAAGCTAATTTGATTCGCAAGGTTTCTTTCTTTTTCCGATTAGCAGCGGTTTAACTGTTTGAATCTGATCGATTTTGTTATGTTTTCAGGCTTTGCCGAATCAGCAAACCGTTGATTATCCAAGTTTCAAGCTCGTAATCGTCGGCGATGGCGGTACAGGTAATTCTCGAGTATTTCTGCTGAGAAAGTACAAGAGCCTTGCAATTGACGGCGCAAGTTTTGGCTACGTTTAGCTGTTCCATCTTAATATATTTTGTTATTGCTTGTGATTTGATGTGGTGTTAGTGATTTCTTTGCTGTATATGTTTTCTCTGTTCTTGATGTATGGCAATTTATACGCTATTCTGCATATTGCAGGAAAAACTACTTTTGTGAAGAGGCATCTTACTGGCGAGTTTGAGAAAAAATACGAACGTAAGTGTGAAATCGTGTCATTTTCGAAATCACGATTCTTTTTTTGGCCACTCTAATCTTGTCTGTGTTTAATTTATCATTCTCACTGTGTTTTTGTGTTCTTGTGTTCAGCAACGATTGGTGTTGAGGTCCATCCCTTAGATTTCTTCACCAACTGCGGAAAACTCCGGTTTTACTGCTGGGACACTGCAGGACAAGAGAAGTTCGGTGGTCTTAGAGATGGATATTAGTAAGTTACAAAATTTTGTTACTAATTGTAATGCATTTGCTCCTTGTTTGTTTGTTTCCAAAAGATGTTGAAGATTGTTTATGAATATTGCTTTCTATTTTCTAAGTAGTGAATCTGACATCTTTGCTATGTTGTTGAGAATGGATTGTTTTTGTTTTGTTTATAATCTTTGATCATTGATATTTACCTATTTATTATATGACATATATATATTATTCATTTTATGGTGTTCTTCTCAGTACATTTCATTTTTTAATTTTCCAAAGTTTCTTCCTTTTGTAGCATCCATGGTCAATGTGCTATCATTATGTTTGATGTTACTGCTCGGCTCACATATAAGAATGTCCCAACATGGCACCGTGATCTTTGCCGGTTTGTGCATTTTACCAAATCTTATATTTTTCTCACGTTTAAGGTCTGTCGAAATACTTACTTTGACACACCGCCTTTTTTCAGAGTTTGTGAGAACATTCCGATTGTTCTGTGTGGAAACAAGGTTGATGTCAAGAACAGGCAGGTGAAGGCTAAGCAAGTCACTTTTCATAGGAAGAAGAATTTGCAGTACTATGAGATATCAGCAAAGAGCAATTATAATTTTGAAAAGCCTTTTCTTTATCTTGCTAGGAAACTTGCAGGGTAAATAATCACTTCTTAACATTTTTTTATTCCTCAATTTTTGAATGAATTTTTCCTAATACTAATACGAAATTTGTTTTCTAAATCGAAGTGACCCAAATTTGCATTTTGTGGAGGCGCCTGCCCTTGCTCCTCCGGAGGTGCAAATTGATATTGCAGCCCAGCAGCAGTGAGTGTCTTGTTATATACTTGGATGTTAAATTCAGAGTCATCTGATCTTTTGTTTTTATTTTTTTTATGGCCCAACGATAATTTTGATTGGTTAATAGCAACTAATGACACATAAATAATAGATATATAGCCTGACATGTTTTCGACTTTCTGCAGAGTCCTTTTCTCTAAAATATGCTTGCTTATATCGATTCTGTTAAGACTGTTACTACTTAATAGAGCTGTTATTTGCAAAAGCAATTTACACTTGTTTGGCTGACAACTTTTGCAGGCATGAAGCTGAGCTTGAGGCTGCTGCTGCTCAGCCTCTTCCAGATGATGACGATGATGCTTTTGAGTAGATAAGGTGTGTGGTTGTTGAGTGAATGTATGTGTTTCTAGCTCATTTGAGTATTAGGCCAAAATTCTTGTGCACATTGCGCACACAAGCATTTGACTTGCTTTCATCTCTGTAGTGTTCAACTGCTTTTCCAGTATTTGCTTATAAGCCATTATATTTCTGCTTAATGTTGAGAATTTGATTCATGCTATCTTTTACTTTCTTGTTACGTTGACTAAGTGGAAGTTGAGGCCTTTTGGAACTAAAAGGTTGTCTACAACATGGCATTTGGATCCGAGCTCTGAATTTTTATTTTGGGCTTGTTTGAACAAAATCATGCCTGCCCTTAAATTCAATGATTCTTATAATTTCCATCAAGATTTTGGGGGCTCCAGTCTCTAACCATTAAGACCATAATTCATCATTGACGAAAGAAATCCTTAAATTCAATGCTTACTATAATTTCCATCGTATTTTACTTTTGATGAGACTAATGATTATGACCCCTCAAAAGCATTTGTCTTTGTGATTGCAAAATCTTATATATCATCATACGACACACGGCATAAGTTGATGTTATAATTTCATTTATTTTCAAAAGATAGTGATATGTGAACAATTTATTAAATTATTATTGTATGAAAATTTTGTATAATAAAAGTCTTTATTAGCAAAGGTGTAAAATATTTATTTTGTAATTAATGTTGATATAGACGTGAGGATCTTTAAAATTCGGAAATCTCAATAAGAAGTTAACAAAGATGTAAAATATTCGAAAATTAAAAAAAAAAAAAAAAGGTAAAATATTTTTGACATGGATGTGTGTTGGTTGGATGTAGGGGGAAAATTTCAACGCTGAAATGGTCATTTCATATGAGATGTCATGAGATGTAATTTCTTAGCTTACATGAATAATGCTCAGTGCCAGTTGAACTTCACCATCAACTGGTGAAACTATTATTAAAATTAAAATTAAAATTA